ATATATATATATATATATATATATATATATATATATATATATATATATATGTATATTACCCATTATTGAAGCACGAAGCTTCGGTCCGATGCGGACATACAACAAGAATGGGGTACCTCATTTTGATACTTTTTCGCGTATGGATGTGTCAACACCTTATTTTCACATAAACCTCAGCGCCCTCGCTGTGTTTTTGAATTGTTCTATCCCGCATTTTCCCTCAACCGCGATAGCTGAGAACACCTGCTGGATCTGGGCTTCGGTCAAGCCGAAATTGCATTTGTGACACAGATCCCGGATATCGTCCAGCGCCCGACCGCCCGCGAAGTTCACCGAGTCCACACCCAGGGTCACATAGTGGGAAGGGTACAGAAGCTGAGCCGCGGTGGCCTCGTCGCCGAGCTTTTGCCGTGGCTGGGAGACCATCGCCTCGGTAGGAGACTTCCCCAGCCCCCTGGCGGAGTCGCCGAGCTCGGAGGCGTGGGCTGAGCCACCCCCTTCTGAACCAGCGGCCCCCCCCCCCTCCTCCTCCCCCTTGGTGGACCGCCCATGAGGAGAGCAGCTCCTTCACGGTGGGCTGCTCCACCTGAAAGCCATTCGCGGCCCGTCCGCGTTGTACTGCAGCACCGGCTGTGACACGTCGTTGGGTCTCCTCACCTTTCGGTGCGGCGGGGTCGGTAAAGCCGTAGCGCCGGCTTTGGCCCAACACGGCATCCTTGGTAAGGTGGAACTCCTTGACGACCTTTGGGACAAGGGTGAGCCCGGGACGGCCCGCCAACGTCCGCATCCCGGCGGCCGTGCTGTCCTCCCCATGCGGGGTGGCTCGTCCAAAGCGGTGCTGCCGCGTGTCAATTCCGGCCGCCTCCCAGTTGTAGCCCCGGTTCATGGAGGCCCCCGGCGCGTGCCGGATGTCGACGTTACGCCAGCCATTCATCAGGGCACTGACGGAGCCGTCTTTGAGGGTGGACACGCCGAAACCGGCAGGGGGCTCGGGGATGTCGTAGGACGGGGCGGGCGTGCGGCCGAGGGGGTGCCGCTCCCGGCGGCGGTCGCCCGACGCGCTCAGGAGGGCGCTCCCCCGGCTGGCGTGGAGATCCGGCCGTAGGCAGGGATCGATGTCGCCGTCGCCTTTGGTTTTTAGGCCATACCGCGTGTCGGCGTCTGCGGCGGGGTCCCGCGCCAGCCCCCAGTGGCGATGCGCCGTCCCTACATCGCCGCCACGGTGATGAAACATGTGAATCTTATCTGGGGTCACGCTGCCCAGAAAGTTGTAGCTCGCACACAGTTCGCCGACGGTCGGCTCGCTATAATCTCCAGAGATGCCGGCCGTGCGTATTTGCGGAGCAACACGCATTAAACGCTCGGTATAGATGGACCTGTTGAGCGAACTCATTTTCCCTGTTAGTTGGAATGCTATATAATATCACCTACTTCGCTTACGCCGACGCAAAAGACTTAGGGCAACTGAAGAATGATGACTAGGACCACAACTTGGTCTGTACTAGAGACACACATCTCTAAACGCACAATAAAATGAATCCAGATAAAAATTAAGCATAGGCGGTTGAGTCTGATGATAAGACAAATCCATTTTCCCTCCTCCCAGCCAAATAAACAAAAATGATAATAATATTAATTGGTATAGTTTAGAAATGAAAGCTTATAAAATGTTCATGATGGAGTGATAAAAATACAGCGCACGTTATATTGGTGCACGTTTTACTTTGCAAGCCGATTGATATGCCCTGGAGTAAGCAAAGAGCATACCCAACTGAGGGTTGACTATTCCCTCCAACCAATCGTTTTTTTTGTTCTGGAGACATGTCCTTGTAAAGCAAACAGGGTAAAGCTGGCAGTTTTGGAGCTTCTCGCTGGATTTGCCTTCGCAAAGGTACCGGGGAGACGTGGCTTGCTTTTCTTAAAATCATACATGAAAGTGTGCATATTTGTTATTCACAGTAGTTACTTTTAGAATCGGCACAAAATGATATGTGAACGTGTCACATATTTAATCTTCAGTTTGATGATTGCGCGAGAGATGTGAGTGACCTCGATTATTTCTACATTGGAATGCCAGATCTGCCATTTTGCTCATCGCAACGTGGCCAAAGCTAGTTCCTAAGAAAGGACGCAGCAAACAACCTAAGTATAAAGGTTGAATGCAGGATAACAAGGCAGCACCACTCCATGAAGCGATACATTTTCGGTTTTTTTATCCGATTCACTCATCCTTCTTGCATTCTCCAGATTAGATACATCATAGACATTGTCCTTTGCTGGGGGATAACCACTACTGATGCGACAACATACTGCTAACCGAGATAATGATATTCGTGGAGAGTATTGCACATTGAATAAACTAATGCCACTGCGTATGTCAGCCTCATAGATCTCAATGGCAATACAACTGCAGACTACAGTTCTATAAGTTGCGCCGCATGTATTCATGAAAGAAAGTGTACTTCACAACCTTGCGGCCATAGGTAGGCACAAGGGGGGGTCAAAAAATTATCAGCTCATCAAAATCCACTTCCTATGGACAGGTTATAATTCCATAGGAAGCTTCAAAGTAGACCGCGTGCTGCTGAAGTTTCACAGAATGCAAAAGATCTTCACCAACGCGAGATGAGACCCTTTGGACTTCTCTTCCACCTCGGTTCTAAATGCGCCGTATCTTTCTCTTGAATATTTCCAAGAGTTGCTGAATCTAGATGCTTCGGTCACCCCTGTTTATTATCTTCATTGTCTCCTTAAGTTACTGTGTAAAGGGGTATGCGGGATCACGAACCCAAGGATGCCATTGTGCAATTTCAACACAGCCACCACATCTTCTCGGGAGTTAGTAAATCTCAAAAGCGCGGCGCCGGCCCTACCAGTGCAGATACGCCACCGAGTCACCGACGCTCTTCTGTAAGGTTGAGACAAATATATATCTATATATATCTACATATAACAATAACAATAAAAAAAAACATTTTACGTCCGTAAATGACAAAATCAGCCTGAGCTGCGTGGCCACAATAGGCATTGTCGAAGGGATGGGCGAGTGGTATTAGTAGAAAAAATAGGGGAATACTAATGAATACTAGTTGACTGATGCCTCTACTATCTACTTTAAGAACAAGTTATCCAGCGCGCTCAGTGCGTGCGAGAGCGTTGTTTACCCTTACAGGTCGCCGATAAACTGCATCCCAGAGCGCTTCTTTTCTCAGGGATTCACTGAGGCCTCGTGTGGTCGACTGTAGGGGCCCAATCAATGAGGGCTCCCTCAGTTCTCAGAAACATACACAAAGTAGAAAACAAAAAACGTCGCCACTCCCATCAGCGGAGGGCTGTAGAAAAGCCAGAGGCCGTCTCCCTCCTTGACGCTTCTGCTTTTTTTTCTTTATTTGAAGAGGGTGTTTAGTGGCACCCTTGGCGAGCCGTTGCGAACTCCACAGTTTCCACGACCGCATTTCGTTGGTTGATAGGGCCTTGGGTTACGCATCATCTTTTGGAGATTTTCGCCTGCTTCCGTCTGATTCAGGCGCCTTTGGGGCTTTTCGCATGGCCCAGGGTAACCCTTTACGGCAAAGTAAAGTTTCCTCAGCACGCAGCCATACTGATATTCATTATACACCCTTGTTTGTAGGATTATGCAGGAGAGCAGCACGACGTGCACGATCGTAAAACTTGCAGGTTGGAGATCCTCCGCCGAACCGGGCGTTCCTTGGAGAAGGCCGAGAAAGAGAGCCAAGCGAGGGATGTGCCTTGATAGCCACATCCCAACGCCGGCAACATTACCCAGAAGTGGAGCGACCAGCACGATGCTGCTAAACGGTGCTATCTTACGCCAACTAATGAAGATCGCCAAATACAAGGACTCCGCGTGGTGCACATACAGAAGGCTACCTGCCGACACCGCAAGACTTAGAAAGGATGGGGATGCGGTGACGATGAGCGCGCAGAGGCAGATCAGCGGTGGGTAGAGGGTGGAGAAGGCGGATAAAAACATCCCCATCAACCGCGAGGCGCAGCTTTCCTTGTAAGGGAAGTCCGGCACGACCTTCTCGAACTCGTCACTCGTGAGCTGAAGGATATCCGGCACCTGCTGCCCACTAAGGAAGTCAAGGAGGTTGTCATGCCCCTTATGATGCATCGCGTCGAGGTTAAGCCGATACTCCACTATAGGCATTGCGCGACGGCAATGCAAAAGGGCGATCCAGCACGCCCCACAGCTCAACGCCGCCTTCGGGGTGCCGCAGTTCGTCCAAATCCACCCCGACCACGACGCCCTCGTCGGGGTTTCCCATTCGGGTCGTATTACCTGACCAAGTCGCACTATGGTCATCCACGCAAAATAAACCGTCAGCAGCAGCCGCAACGCGCGCATCCAAGACGGCCGCCAGACAAGTTTTGCGCGGCCCACCATGCACTCCATCGCGAGCGCCCCCGCAAAGCCGATCGCCAGCACCGAGGAGAGCGTGTAACGCACCGCCAGCAACAAAAAAAGCGCGAGAAGCTCGAAGCTGATGCTCGGTAGAAGGTGAATGGAGAGAAACCCCCACCACCGCCGGGTGTAGTAGCCATCCAGGAAGAAATGGAGAAACCGATAAGGGAGGAAAGGCTGCGTCGCGTGATGCAGCACCACACAGAAGGAGAGGAGTAGCAACGGTACGAGCGTCTCCGCCCGCTCCATCGAATGCCATCCGTCATTCCACGGATACTTTCGAAGTCCTAGAAAGGTTTCCAAACGAACCTCCTGCCCGCGCGTGAGGAATTCCGGTATGGTCGTGGTAATTGGTGGCACCCAACGCAGTTGATAAGCAAACCACACGCTCGCGTGTATTCCCATATACACCGGCAGCGCAGGGCACGCGAGGCCATCCATCATCAGAAACACGGCGTACCCTATGCTCAGAACGCTTGGGCGTCGTAGCACCGCGATCCCAAGCATGGCCTGCCCTAGCCATACACTGAGCAAGGATAACCCCCTCAACCCACGATTAGGATCGCGAAGATTCCTCCAAAACCCCCACCCCAACCGTGGTTGGGGTTCCTGCAAAAGCCCCTCCTCGTCCGGCTTGGAGAGGCCGAACAACAGCTCTCCATCGTCGTCGTCGTCATCTTCGTTGATCAGTTCACACGCCGGGGCGATTTTTAACTGCAAAAGCAGCAACACCCCATACCAATGCAACACTACGAGCGCTAACTTTAGGCCCTCTCCTTTATTCAGAGATGTCGAGAAACCAAGCAGCTCGCAAGCGCAGCTTCGCGCCAGCTCCGTCGTTTCGCAACCGGGCAACTTCCTCAACAATCCCTCAACGAACCCATCCCAGAGCTGTGGGATCGCCGCGAGGGTGATCCCGATCGAGGCCGTCGTGGCGAGGATGGAAGCCCCTCGAATCGCCCGCCCTGCGGCTTCCTTCCGCCGCATTGCAAAGGCCATTCCCACCGCTACGTGGAGGAGCAACGCGAGGTCGTGGAGGGCCCCTCGGGGCGCCCAAAGCCCCATCCCGGCGGAGATCCCCATCGCGAAAAGAAGCGATGGCAAACAACACGATATCGACGTTGAATCCGCCCCTCTCGCACGTGAAGGAGTCGGCTGCAGAAGAGTTTTCAGAAGCATTCCCGCCGCGATAGTTGGCAGATAATCCCAACGTGTAGGCAGTCTGCGCAGCCCTAACTGATGAAGCCGCAGGGTGGTGAACGGAACGCACGCCGTCGGATCCGAAATGGCGGGAATTAACGGCAAAAGTAACAGCCCCACAGTCATGAGGTTCACACAGTTCATGAGAATCCGAGGGTGGCGATCGAGAAAGCCCGGGAAAAAGGCCTGCGTTAGGATCATCGTAACCATAGGAAAGCCCTGCAGGATGTTGAGGTATTGCTGTCGGATGCTGTAATACGCGGCAAGGCCAAGCATGATCCCAATCGTTAACGCGCGTGAGATGGAGGGAAAAGCGGCATTCCAGAAGGATTTGAAGCTCCCATGACGAGCCTGAGAAAGACGCTCACCGCCTTCGCATGTTGAAGACGGGTGCCCTTTCACCGGTTGAGCAGACGGCGTGAACGAGTTTCCCGGGAAGGTATTTGAATTAGCAGGATCTGATACAACTTTTTCCTCTTTTTTGGCTTCTTTGGTGGTCTGGATCTTATCCACTTCACACGCCGCGGCGGGAGGTCCGACTGGGGGTTCCGTCGGCCCACGTGAAAGCACCAACACCCACAGCCACAACCCCATATTCATGGCTAACTGCATCACAGGCAAGATGCGGTTATCGGCATCGCTCATAAAAAGTTGAACCCCCCAGTGGTTGACGGGCAACATCGAGCACCGGATGGCCGCCTCGAGGATATGCTGCATGGCGCTCATCACGACGGCAGCGAAGATCGCGGCCGCGCGCAGGGCGGTAAAGACGTGCGAAGAGGCTGCGTCATCCATGGTTGATCTCAACCCCAGGGAGCCGAAGAAGCTGATCATAACATAACTAAAGGAGGGAATACTGGGGAAAAAGGCCATATTACACGCACTACACCCCGTAAGCAGTTCTGCACGCCACCCCAAAGGCTTAAATCGCAGAAGGGGGGATGACGACAGCGGAGATTTGCTGTGGGTTGCTTCAGGTGCTGCCGAGTGTGGTGCATTTTGGCGTAACCTTTCCAGCTCCGCAGAGGTGTAGCCACGCCCTTCGGCCACGAGAGCCTCTGTTAACCATGCACAAGTTACCATACCCAGAAGCTGGATGGCGTGCCGCCAAGCAACACCGCCTTCAGGATAAAAAACCTGAAAGATACCGATGAAGGAGGTGTCAACACCCTTAAGAAACTTCTGGAGCAAGCAAAACACCGCATCATTTTGAACAACGCCTATGACAACCACCACAGCTGCTAGGACGCACTGCATATAATAGAGTCGATTGTTTAAGTAGCGTTCTGTCAACGGTTGATAAGGATTCGACATCAACATCCCCGGAAAAGTCGGTTTGATAAGCAGGAGTGACATTACTACGAACAAGGAGGCGGTAAGACATGAGGGTAGAATAACAGCAGTGACTAAAAAGCTGCAAATCAAGAAAGCGTAAAGCAGACGGCAGGTGAAAAGTGAACCCGTACGTTTTTTTCCCACTACCCCTTGTTCTTTGTCCTGGTGAGATGCTATTTGAACAGGTTTCTTAACTATTTTATAAAGCCCTGCTAGCACGACAATGAGCAAGGAAGGCAACAACCGAAGCGCTAGTTTGAGAGCCCATCTATTACCCTTCACAGGGGTCGCTCCCAGCAGCAATTGAAGCCATATTGCAGGGGCACCCCGTAGTAGGGTTGAGCTAATTGCAGGGAAAAGTGTTACGATGAGGTTCACTGCAATCGTTGATGCTATATGAAAGCATGCAGTACACGTAAATAAAAAAGCACATAAATTAATAAAACAGTCATGAGCATGGTCTTTTAATATATTCAGTGAGAATAAAACAAGAAGGGGGGCTATATAGCCCCCACCACTCGCTGAGGAGGTAAGTAGAAGTATATACATCAGAAGTTTGTGGATGGCAGCCATTATGGATTTTGTCTGCCTGTGCCTTCCGTTTGATTCTTCTGGTTTCGAATTAGAAGCGTCTCCAAGCTAGAGCCTAGATGTAAAAAAAAAGTGTGTGAAAGAAGGACAAGCAAGCTACAGCATATATATTTCTCGTTACTTAAAGCGAGATCAAGAGCAAAGGCAGTAAACATGCCTAGGTGATGAGTGAACAAAAAAATCCCCTCCTGACTGTTTTACTTCGAAAGAAACTTCACAAGAACGAATTCGATGCAAAAGGAGAAACATACACATCCCCTAAAGGAATGAGAAAACACCGGAAAAAACCAAACAGAGGCATAGACACTTCCTCCCCACCCTTTTTGTTGTTCTTGTTCGTTAATCGTATTCATCTATTAGTGAGCCCACCAAGCTCATATTCAATACGGGAGAACCAATCCATCCAGGGAAACATCCAAACACAGCATTTTTCAAGATAATGCACACCCTTCTCCTCCTCTGCAGACATCAGTTTAAATTATACAGCGTACTTCGAACTCCCTTCACATAGTCAGGAGTTCCCCACCGACGCTGTAGACTACCATGAGCTTTGATCAGATTCCACATATGCGTTTTCCGCCACTGACTAATAGAGATGTTCTCGATGGTGTTGTCGGCGATGATGGCTTGAATACGGGAGTTAATATAATTATCCATGGAGGTCATCCCCGTCGCCTTACACTCCTCGTCCAGCACGCCCTGATTCCACCGCATAATCTGCTGATGGGAGGGATGCGTGACCAAAACCCCGCCGTCGCTTAACGCGAACATGCGGAAATTTGGCGAGAGCGTCCGCGTTGTCGGCGACAGCCCATTCTCATCCGAGAGCGGCGCCGTCGCCGCCTGCGGAACTGGTCGAATTCTAAAGCGGCGGTCCTTTTTGGGCGTGTAGACGGACATCCCAAAGCCCCCAAAGCCGTACCGAATAAACCCGCGGTTGTACACGCGGCCGTAACGCGTGCCCGCGTTTGGGTGCTGCCCGCGCTTCTTTTGATGGGACTGAACGTGGAGTGCCACCCAGCAGCGTCGCAGCATCGGGCTGGATTCGGGTTCAATTCACTTGGGACTTCTTTTTTTTATTCCCCCTCCGCCTTGGTTTGCTATTTTAGTTTGCGTGGGTGTGCGTGTTTGCGTCACAATTATTCCACTCGGGTAAAGATAGAAAGAGGAGTAAAGGGGAAAAAGATGAGAAAAGACGACGAAAGACAATGTCACGACGTTCACCGGAGGACTTAAAGGCGGTTTTCTATACACAACCGACAAGGTTTCCATCGTTGTTTCGCTTTAGACGATTGATACGCGGAGGTGTGGCCTGGCGAAGTCGTTCTAGGTGTTCAAAATGGGTGTTTCGGTTGGCAAAGTAAGCACATCCTTTATGCCTTCCTTTCGCCATACACTCAATCCACTGTGTCGGTGAATGTGCGCTTTTCTATTTCACTCCAACTTACCACGCGCCGTTCTTAGCTCCGTTATTCTCTTTGGAATGCAATCCGATGCTTCAATCGACGCGCCCGGCTTCGAACGACCTTGTGCATTCTTCTTGTCGATTTCAGAGGCTCGCATCTTAGCTACCTCCAACTGCATCGTCATTTCTTTCTCAAGGTTCCTTAATAATTTCACCGGGTCTTCACATGCGCTATTCAAGCGCGGCATCACCTCATCGGGCGTCCTGGATACTGACAGCTCAGCTTCGTCATTCATTGTTAATTCACTTATTCCAGCACTTCATTTGAAACCTACAAGATTTGGTTTTTGAAGGGGAGCATTTACTTCTTTGTTGAGCAGCAGCTGGTGCAAACTGCAAAATTTATCATAGATAAGTGAATACCAATACCAATGATTTTTCTGGAGCCTACGTTTCCGCAGAAAGTACCACAACAATAGACGCTGTGACTCTGAAACGGATAAAAAGGGTTATTCGCCCTTCATTATTGCTCCTTTAGGAAGTTCATTAAATACGCATTACGAATTCTTTCGAGTAATCTGCTCTACAATACGAATAATCGCCCGCAGTTGCTTGTTCGTTAGGTTATCTAACAAAACCTCTTCGTCAACGAGCACACTAGGGTCGTTTTTCTGAAAGTAATCTAAAAGTGCTTTGTTCACCTCAGGGGTGCCGTGCTTCTGCATGAGTTCGAAAAAATCATCCACCGCTGCTTTTGGCGCCGGTTTCTCTTCCTCAAAGCGCTGTTGAATGCGCTCCAACGCCGCGGCGCACTTCTTTGCCTCCTCCATGAGTGGCGACGTGGGCCCGTTGAACTTCGCGCAGTTCGTCCAAATCAACTCAATATCCTGCAGCACCTGCTCCGCGGTGGAGTAGTAATTCCCCTCCGCCATACGATCCAACACCTCGCGCAAACTCAAGGGCTGCTCGACGACTTGGTAGTAGTTAAACGCGCCCGTTTCAAGCGCGTTCACCGGCTCGCGGAAGTTGAGGGAGCTGCTCTCCTCCGTGTAAAGTTTATAGATGCAGTGGTAGAGGTCTCGGATCTCGGGCACCGTGCTGAGATGACTATGATAGGCGTGGCTGCCGGATGGGAGGATCGGGTGTTGCATTGCGCATTCGATGTACTGCAGCCAATACTGGATTTCCTTTGCCGGATCCGGCTGCTGCTGAGATACCGCATTCGTCATCATTCACACGACCTCTTCCAATTTTATACACGATCTAGGAGGAGATGTAGGTCGTTAGCTTGTCTAGTATATTTTTACCCTACTGGTTTTCGTACTCACGTGTTGTACGCGTTCAGTGCGATTGGTTGCACTTCTTTTTCCCCCCACGCCTTTCTTTGTGATCTCGCCTGTATTTTTTTTCTTTGAATTAGTCTATGCCGCGTAGATGACTTCCTACTGACGGGAATTTTTCTCGTGTGCACATAGCAAGCCAAAGGTGATTGAAGAAAAAATGAATCCATGGGGAGGAGGGGGAGGACTTATAAATCCCATCCACACACTATTTCTGGTTCTTATTTTCAAATGCTTATGTAACGGTCACTTTGTGTGTCATGAAAGCACACTAATAAAAAGGGAAAACATTCAGCAATGAAACCAGGTTCGTATTACCCTAAGTGTGGTGCATATCAACCCAAAACATTCGACGCAAAAAGTAGCCACTCGCTAAACGTCAATATCCCTTCCCTTTTTCCTCTCCATCAAAAAGAAGAAAACACAACACCAGGGGAACAACAGTAGCAATGACAAGGGCTATGAAGAGAATCAAGATGCGTATTTCGTCCCCCCCACTACCTAAAGTTTGTAGGAAAGCCAGGCTCATCCTGCTTATCAACCACTCGCACACGCAGCCCTTTGAAGTTTAGCATGGACTGGCTTCGCTGGAGATTTGAAGCAATCGATCGTTGCCACGGCGGGAGGGCTGCATCCGGCACGAACATCAACCCTTCCGCGTTTTTCCTCTCAAAGTCCTCGAGTCGAGTGCGATTTTCAATGAATTGGCGATCCTTCATAATCGGCTTGTAGGGCTCCCTACGCTTCATGAGCAACATCTGCTTGTTCGAGATTTTGGTATACTTAATGAGCCGCTTCATAGACATTTTTGAGTTTCTAAGGCTACTTTTATTTTTCCAAACCCTTCCCTCCCCTTGCGCTCTACCAATTCAACCGGTCCTTGAATTTTATTGGGCTTTCGCGCAAAAAACAAAGATCCCTGGTTCTTCTATTTAAGAATTGAATAGTAGGGCAACCCACCAATCAGTATATTTAAGTGAAACAAACCCAGAAAAGAATTATGTCAAGCTTTCAAAATGCCCCATGCATACAATACTTGGCTGCTTTCCCTCTCCTTTTTTTTTTTTAAGGGCATGGAATGTGCTTACACGTTGACACTCCCTTTTCGATATTTCTACTGAGGTCAAAGGGAGGACTAGTTGAATTTTACACACGTTCCTCAACGACGTTTTCCTGTGCTTTAAAAAACTGTCTTTCTAAAACGTGAAAGGGTAATAACCTAAATAACAACATTAGACCAAAGCAATACATATAAATATATTTACAAACCATCTATTTGAAGCTACAGTCTGCTACCTCCTATAACCATCTACTTATGGTTTCAAATGCATGGGTGTTATTCATGTAGTTTTACTTT